TAATAAACATAATTTATTGTTATTATTGTTTTTTTTTATTAATTTATAAAGATACATAGTATAAAAATAAATCGTAAATCTTCTTAAATTTTTAATAAATCTATAGCTTGATAAATGTTGCCATCTCACGGATGGTTGATTTAAATTTTGAGAACTGTATAGTGTTGTCCACTGACGAAAGTTACAAATTCAGTTACAAATAGATTTTCTGAAAAAGAAAGAATAAATAGAAAAAGATTACTATTCCATCAAAAATCAATATTTTAACAATAAGCATTTACAAATAAATATAATTTGTATTATAATAATATTACAGATATAAAAAAAAAATACTATGAATAGGAATAGAATCATTGAATTCATAAAATATTAATTCTAAGATACTTTTAGATTTATAAAATTTAAATAGTTTCAGAATTGCTGGATAATCAATAAATCCATTCAAGATTTTAAAAATTAACATGCTTAAATCAATAAATTAAACATATTATATTATTATCATATCATTATACAATCAGATCATTTTGGCATTTGATAAAAGAGAGATGTGCTCAATTTTCTTAGTAGTTTAATCAATTTGATTATTTGCTTATTGTTATTTCATTCATCATGAGATAAAAATATTGATGTATAATGCGATTTCTTATTTCGCAATCAGCTCAGAGAGCATAGTGAAATCGATTTTGACCGGTGAATCGTTAATAGGAAATCGTAATAAGAGCTGTTGAAGCAAGAGCGAACAAGAGCCATCTGTTGTCGGCGCGGTTTGCGACAAAACAAACAGCTTGCCAATTATGGGGTGATTTTGAGCCTGCTCGACATAATTTGGACCGGCAAAGAGGACAAAGACGACTCGTTTCTACCACGCCTACGGTCGTTAAACTTCACGATGAGAAGGGCATAGCTATTTTCCTATTCTCCTCTTGTTTGGTGTCTCTATTTACGCTCTTTTACCGACTACTCGTTGACCTCTTTTATAATCTTAAGGTGGAAGTCCAGTATTTTTGACGAATAGTCAATAATTCTTTGATTCAAGTGATATGCTCTATTTGTAGCCTTTTAATTTTTTTTTTTTTTTTTTGCGTTCCAATGTCTCTACAGCATTTTTTGTTGATAGAATTTAATACAAATGTAATATTTATATAGATCAATATTTTTGTGTAATTATTAATTAAGATGATGCTCTTCAATTGAAGAATAATTAATGATTAATGGTTTTGAATTGTTGCATTAATTGATTTTTTCATGAATTGCATTTTTTAATTTTATTCATAAATATTAAATATTTTTTAAAATTTGAATAAAATTTGAATAAAATTTTTAGGATATATATATATATATATATA